AAGTAAAAAGTATTGTAAAAATATTCGAATGTAATAAAAATTTCTAGACAAAATAAAGATCTATCCTTCAATCTACTTTCTTATATAAATTCAACTTCATCGAGGAAGATAAAAACGTGTAGCTATCGTAGAAAATGAAATGCAACGTCTAGCTTTAAGTATTATAAATTTCCACTGAAAGAGAATTAGAGAGATAAAAGGCCATTTTAATATATTCGTTGTTACTATGAGTGATCGGTCGATTGATGATAGTGAAAATCAGGTCACGTCTTAACAATTAGTATTTGACTGAAGAAGAAGGAAAAAATCTTCGACGCCAAATACGCACCGAGATTGTTGAAGTTGACAACGAATGTATTAGAAACTAAACAGCAATGATAATATCATGTATTCATTAAAAGAGGTAAAACTCATCAGATAGAGAGATTAAAGTGTCTTCTCCAGATTACAAATTAATTAGGTGACGAGGAACCACACAATCCGCCACACGTATGTAATATCGTGTTTTATTAATCGGATCACATTATCGCAGATATCGTTTACACAGATTCATCTGTACATTTAAACTAACTTTCTTTAAATAATTCACGATGCCGTAATACGTATATACATGTACAAATTGTGTCGGGTGTGTGTGTGTCGTTTAATAAAACGATCGTTTGCTTGATCAGCGAGCCGGGGCACCGGTGGCACAGACTCGACAATAAGTCTAGTAATCAACGTATAATAGAAACGACGATGAAGGTACTTGCTATCATCGAGAGGAAAAAAAGAAAAAGGGGAAAAAAAAGGAAGCTGCTAAAGTCGGCGCAGTCCGCTCAACACTCTCCTCGCTCTCGTTTCTCACAGTCGTTAATTAAGGTATAAAAATAATAGCCTCCAGTCGACACTAACTAAAAGTTAGTCCGCCAACTGTACACACACGCGAATGTGGAGAATTGGTATCTGAGCATTTGTCGTCTTCATCTCTCTCTCTCTCTCTCACTCTCTCGATTCGCGTTTTTCATCTCGCGACGCAAAGGTAGCGGTTAAAAAACGGGAAAAAACTCACTCAGGCCTCCATTCGGTTTTTCGTTCTTCATTCTCACTTTCACTCTTTCTCTCTCTCTCTCTCTCTCT